AGCGTCCTCACGCGCTGTGCCACTACGACAAGTTAACAGACGAGCTGGGAGCAGCCATATGTGCACTTGGCCCGTCAAACCTTACTGTTGCTTAGTAGGGTATGGGGGGATGAGGAACCGCGTATAATGCCTTAAAGGGTATATATAGGGGGGGGCTATAGGGTACCTTCCCTCATCCCCTCATCTCCTACGCACCAATCACCAACAGTCAGAAAGGAGCCCCACAAGCTGCAAGAACCCCGGGTGCATCTTAGTGTCCGGGTTCACCCAGGTTGCTGTCCGACACACCGCCATGGCCCTCATAGCAGTTGAGGCCCACTTTCTGCACCCAACCTTTCGAGGTAAAGGGTTTCGGGTTTAGGGTTTACAGGGTTATAGGGTTTACAGGGTTTACAGGGTTTACAGGGTTTACAGGGTCTACAGGGTTTACAGGGTTTACAGGGTTTACAGGGTTTATAGGGTTTGTAGGGTTTATAGGGTTTATAGGGTTTGTAGGGTTCAAAGAGTTTATAGGGTTTATAGGGTTTATAGGGTTTATATGCGCTAGCATAGGCGCACCCCCCCCCTCCCCCGCCCCATGGTATCCCCCCCCTCCCCTGTGGTTCATGGTGGGTTTTGGGGTCCCCTCCCCCCCACCCCTGTGGTTCATCCTCCGTTTTCATAGTCCGTGGTTCATGGGTTTGTGGTTTAGGGGTTTAGGGTTAGGCTGTAGAGTTCAGGATTTTCACTCTGGTCCATTGGTTCATTGTGGGTTTGGGGTTTAATCAGGGTTCAAGGTTTGGGGTCATGGTAGGTTTACGGTTTCCATTCTCCCCTCTGTGGTTCGTGCTGAGTTTACGCTTCAGGGTTCAGGGTTTAAGGCGGCTAAGGTTTCGGGTTTACCCTTCTCCCTCCTGTCGTTCATTGGTGGGTTTAGGTTTTAGGGCTTAGGGTTCAGAGTGTGGGGTTTAGGCTGAGGTTTCTCTGTCCTCCCCGTGGTCCGTGGTGTTTTTAGGGTTAACAGGCAGGGTTTGGGGGGGGATGCCGTGGGGGGGGGGGGGGGGGGTCGATTACGCGCAACGTTTGGGGTTTGGGTTTAGGGAATGCATCTTCGGGGACTCGGCGTTTGAGTGTTCTGTGTTTAGGATTGCGGGGTTTCACGCTTTGGTGAATCGGTCCTCTGAGAGATCTCAGTCAGCTCCTAATTTAGGGTTTAGGGTTTAGGGTTTAGGGTTTAGGGTTTAGGGTTTAGGGTTTAGGGTTTAGGGTTTAGGGTTTAGGGTTTAGGGTTTAGGGTTTTTTGCTCGCAGAAACAGTCAGGAAGACCCATGCAGACTAATTGTTTGTGGTTGGTGTATGTTCAAGCCAATTATTTCGCGAAAGCCCCGGCCCCGACCCTGGGTTTTTGGGACATGTTCGTGCCTATGTTTGTGTTCATGTCTGTGTGTGCCGGCACGTGCTAATTCGACATTAGACGCGCGTGCTCAGTTGCGATAGTCTCTAGTTAGCTTCGTCTTTTCTATCTGAATGCGGTTCCGAACTCAAGTGGTATATTGGAATTTGTAACAAAGGCCCGAACCACACAGAGATCCCCTGGAACGTCTTGAACCCAGCCCCAGGCTTTTTGAACTTGAAACGAATGCCACACCGCGCACAAGCCGCCTGTTTACTGGCCGTCCGCAGCCCAACTCTGGGGTGTTCCAGTCAGGGCCCGTACTGGTTTGCGAGGATGGCCCTTACACCCTCTGAAAGATACTCCTAGATAGGATCCTCGGCCGTTCGATATTCCGCTTCGTGGGCACGTCTCGGGTTCAGCTCCCATTTCTAATTCTTCCTACAGCCTCCATATCAGCTGCGGAAAGCTCCCTGTAATGTTTGACCGTCTGGCTTACAAGGCTTGCTAGTTTCGGAAAACCGGGTAGCCCTGAATCCAAAACCTCGGGCCTGCGGAAAGGGATGTGACGGATCTCAGCCCCTGGCCTGGGCTGCCGAAGTCTGAGGAGCTTTGGGGCTTCAGGCTTTCGGTTGTAGGGTGCCACTGGGTGCAAGGGGCCATCAGGTCTCAATTAAGGTGATGAGGGTCATGGGGTGTGGTCCGTCATCTTGTCAGGCACTTCATGGGCTGTAGAGAAAGGCCTTGCATATTGAAGACACTGCGTAGAAAGGGGGGGGGGGGGTTAAAGCACGGGCCAGCGTTTAGCCTACCCCGCACCCAGCTTGTCGTGGGGCTCATTTTGTCAAGCGAGTAAAAAGCTGTCTCAAGCTCAGCTTCCCTAATGACAAGAAAGGCTTCCGCAGACAGCTTCTCAGAGTAGCATCTGCCTTGGGCACATTCCCTAAAGATCCCTAAAGTGCGGGCATGGGCACACGTTCCGAAACAATTTGCTGCTGTGGGTGCCAGGGGGCATTGTTAGATTTTGCCGTGGGGGCGGTTGTTTGTTGCTGCGTGCGCAGGCCAGCTCCCTCGCTCACTCGCTCACTCACTCACTCACGCACTCACTCACTCACTCACCGTACCACCCCCCAACGCAAAGCACCCAAAGCAGAAAACACCACAACCAAACAAAGGGCTTCCAGCCTATGCCCCGTGTGGTTGTCGTCCCCTATGGCTTGCAACAGTGTGCACCCGCAAGTGCAGAAGTATGCTGTGTAGGACTAAATCACCCGACAAGAATGCTAAAAGGCTCGAGATAGCCACAAACTCAAAGAGCCTATCATGGTCTGATACATCAGCACGCGACCTTCCCGACTGACACAACAAACTCAACACATGAAGCTCCTAGGTTGAAGCCCTTGTGTATTAATAGTATAATCAATTTCGAAGGCTATAAGGATGTGGCCTTATGTGGAGTCCCCAGGGCACGTAGGGCAACAGCTTTGGGCTGTCAGAAGTGGACGACTTCGGTTGTTTGCCATAAACGAGTAAAAGCAGGCCAACCAACTCTCTTCATCTGGCTGACTGGAGGTCTCCGCGGGCTTCTTTACACCCGCAAAGCAGAAGAGCACGACGGCCACCGCGGACGCGAGGGGGACAAGCACCTGCATGCGAATCCGCATCAGGGAGCAATCGCGAACTCCCACCCCATACAAGCAAGCTGTAGTGCGGCGACGATGTGTGCTCTCCATACGCATACGGCAATGCTTCTTGCTAAATCCCAGAGCCCCACTTAAGCCTGAACCGTAAAGCCTCGAACGACCGGCCTGCCCTCGCGTGCACTTCGACCGGCTGGAGAGAAGCTCCTGCAAAAATCATGAAAATGTAGGGGGGTTTACGATATTGGAGGTACCTTCCTGGGGTCCTTCTTCTAAGGGGATCCTACGATTTGGGGATCTGGATCCTACGATTTGGGGATCTATCTTGGGGGGCTCCGGTAAAGAATGAACATCTGATCTTGGAAGCCTTGCTATGGAGCGTTTGAACAAAGACTTTCGGGACGCACGCCAGGCTGTGGAGTTCAGGGATTGAAGTTTGAGGGAAGTTGGGGGTGATGAAACGCCTCTTCTCTCAAGAGGAGCTGACGAGATTCGTCGGCATCCATATCCTCGAGAGCTTCGGTTTAGGGTTGGCAGTAAGCACTACGTCACTACGAGGGGGCGTCGTTGGGGCCGCTTGTCCGTTTTTTGGGGCGTCCGTCTTGGCTGGTATGAAAGGGGGGCCGGGGGGGGGGGGGGGGGGTGTTCTGACAAGGCTCAGGGCTGAACCCTAAACCCTAAACCCTAAACCCTAAACCCTAAACCCTAAACCCTAAACCCTAAACCCTAAACCCTAAACCCTAAACCCTAAACCGGCTGCTTAGGAGGCAGCTGCGGGCTTCAGGGCTTGAATCGCAGGGCCTGGTGTTTGAGGGCCCGAGGGTTCATGGGCCTCAGGGTTCATGGGTTTAGGGTTTAGGGTTTAGGGTTTAGGGTTTAGGGTTTAGGGTTTAGGGTTTAGGGTTTAGGGTTTAGGGTTTAGGGTTTAGGGTTTGGGGCTTTTGAGGGGTCTGGCTTGAGGGGCGAAGGCTTTCATTTTGGGTAATTTAGAGGCTTAGGCCTTGCGAAGCTTAGGGTTTAAGGCTTGAGGGGTCAGGGGGTTGAGGGCTTCAGGGTCTGGACCTCAGAGTCGAGGCTTGAGGTTCGGAATGTTCAGGGTGGTTTGTTTGGGGTTTAGTGACTGTAACTGTAGTGTCTTAAGGGGTTGGGGGTTGAGCACTTGGGGGTTTAGGGTTTAAGGCTGGAGGAGGGAGTTTACGTTTAGGGCCCTTCTCGTGGCTTAGGTATTCGGGTTGGCCCCTCCCCTCCACCCGCCTCTGCCGGGGTTTGTGGTTTGAGTTTGGGGGTGGGCGGGTCGCTAAGGCCTGTGTCGCTAAGATTAAAGCATACTACATGACACCCAAGGCTCGTCATGCGGCATGGGTGGCTGCTGGTTCTCTGAGAACTAGAGCAGCTCGGTCTTTACAGCTCTCCTGCAGATTGACGGTCTTATTCGTCCACCGTTTGAAGAATGCTGTGCTGGTGCAGCTGGTGGGCATGATCTTGCACAAGCAAGAGCCTCTGAAAATGGCTTCAGATGTCCATCCTGTCAAGCCCTGTAGTGCGGAGATCTTCAAGTGCATCCCTGAACAAAGCACCAGGCTAAACCCAGCCGGCCAGTTTCTTCCCGAAACCTTAGTTTCCTCAAAGCCTCCGTATCAACAATGAGCTTGCCTAGGTTCTTGGCACGAACGAAACTTGCGATGACAAAACGCTTCTCAGTCAACTCTCAAATTCTACACGGCCACACGGTAAGCCCTTTCTTTCCTTCAAGGCCTGCAACCTACCAGCAATTCAAACATGATCGCTGATCTGCATGCGACTGCGAGCATGACGTTGAGCCGTTGAGCCACTGAGTTTTGAAGAACTCAACCAACAACATGTCCAGGAAATTGGATTTGCTTCCCCAGCCAAAGCCGCAAACACTCTACATGCCAAAGCACATGCCCTTGAATCCGTCCACAGAAGCCCAGTGCAAAGCCAGAGCGAGTTTGGCACCTGTTCGTCGGTCAGCTGCCCTCACAAGGCTTCGATGCACATGGCTTGAAATTGAAGGCTGCAATGTCACCTGCAGAAATTCCATGATCTCAAAGGTTTATGGTTACTTTGATCGCTGCGCCCGGGTTTCGCACATGACGTCCGTAGCCCACGCTTTTCACGGAGGATCACGGAGGTTTCTCCACGACACTCAAAAGACTGGGTTTACCAGCACGGGGCAATTGCCCGCAGCCAGGTTCTGTATGTCATGGCAACGGATGCTTCATTCATAGAGGGGCGCGTATGGCGCCGGACATCCTTTTGCTGCTCTTGACAGTCCTGGCTGGAGGGGAGGGGCGCGCGGCGGGCAAAGGAGACTGTCCAAAGTCCCGCCGAGAACAACTTTTTCATTGCGGACACGACGTTTGCGTCGCAAGATAGCTTGGCCAAGGATTTTCGTTCAAAGTCAAGGCTTTGCACATCTACGTGTTGTGACCTGTCATGACTGGAGTCTTCAACTTTGAGTTTCTCGAAGCGTTGAGGAATGTCCTCGCTGATTGCTGCCACAACGCCCGGGATCCCTGTGCTGCCTTTTTTGACAGGCGGATTGTCTTTTTTTGCAAGCACACTTTGTAGCACGTGCCCCCCCACCCCCCCCCCCCCCCCCCCCCCCCCCCCCCCCCCCCCCCCCCCCCCCCCCCCCCCCCCCCCCCAAAGTCCCAAAGTAGCCCATACAAGTAATGCTCAACAAGCGGAGCACCTTTGGCCACCAGCTGGGCAACTCCTCCGCTTCCTGGTCAACTGGGATTTCGTGAGTTTAGGTCGATCGTTCCGCGTGTGTATGGGGCAACCTGAATCCAAAGTGGTCCCAATCTCAGTCTTGGTATAGGGTTCTTAGAAGGGAATATTGGGGAACCTTGCTCCTTGAACCCCCCTCCCTTAATAACCCGATAAATCTCGTGTGCTGGCTACAGAACAGAAGTTGGAGGAGCTCGTGAACATTGTTTCTCGCTGGCGGCTTTTGTCGAGGTCAACTACGGCGAACTACTGGTACCTAGTGTTCGTGTGGGAAAACGAAGTGGCAGCATGTTTCGGGCATTTGGGAGGGGTGGGGCGATGTAGTACTGAACCACGCAATGCAACCATGAAGACTTGCAGATGCTTAAAGAGTCCAGTGACCCTGCCGGGACCCAGGCAACCGAGAACAAGCAATCCTGCATCCTTAAGCTGCCTTAAACTCTAAACCCTAAACCCTAAACCAGCAATCCTGCATCCCTAAGCTGCCTTGAACTCAACAAGCCCAAAGGCCTGAGCAGGTGCGGCATGGTGCCCCACAGAGCCAAGGGGCAGGGACACGGCCGCCTGAGCATCTTCGGACGGGTGGGATGAGAGATCCCAGGACGAGCCGGATGAGCAGGATCTAGGGTTTAGGGTTTAGGGTTTAGGGTTTAGGGTTTAGGGTTTAGGGTTTAGGGTTTAGGGTTTAGGGTTTAGGGTTTAGGGTTTAGGGTTTAGGGTTTAGGGTTTAGGGTTTAGGGTTTTAGGGTTAGGGTAGGGTTAGGGTTTAGGGTTTAGGGTGTAGGGTGTTAGGGTGTAGGGTGTAGGGTGTAGGTGTAGGGTGTAGGGTGTAGGTGTAGGTGTGTAGGGTGTAGGGTGTAGGTGTAGGGTGGGGTGTAGGGTGTAGGGTGTGGGTGTAGGGTGTAGGGTGTAGGGTGTAGGGTGTGGGTGTAGGGTGTAGGGTGTAGGGTGTAGGGTGTAGGGTGTAGGGTGTAGGGTGTAGGGTGTAGGGTGTAGGGTGTAGGGTGTAGGGTGTAGGGTGTAGGGTGTAGGGTGTAGGGTTCATAAAGTTGTTTGGGTTGGAGGTCTGAGGTTTCCGCTCTGCCCTGCCCGTCATGGTTGGCTGCGCAGGGTTTACAAGGATTGAGGGTTTAGGGGTTGCCCTTCCCCCCCCACCCCCCCCCCCCCCCGCCCCGTGGTCTGTGGCGGGTTTGGATGGGTTTGGGGTTTAGGGTTGAAGGGGGGGGGGGATCCTAAGCCGGGGGGGGGGGGGGGGGGAGGTCGAGAACAGTACAAGAAGCTGGGAGGCTGCAGAAATGCCTTGTATTGTTGCAAAAACCGCCATGTCCTCCACAACTCATTCGGAAGTCGTACACATCCTCTATATTTGGGGCTTGTACGCACACAGCTTGTTCCAACGACGTCGCTTGAGGAAAGCATGTATGATTTCAAAGCCAACTATTTCCGATTTCCCTACCTTTGCTGAGAGCAGACCATCTCAAAAGAATAAACACCAACAAAACCAAGTACTCGAAACATAGGCCCTCCCCTAAGAACCCTAAACCCTAAACCCTGAACCCTAAACACTAAACCCTAAACCCTAAACCCTAAACCCTAAACCCTCCGAACCCTCCGAACCCTCAATCATCCTGAATCCCCCGAACCCTGCGCCCCTAGGACTCTTGAGTTCTGGGCGGCTTCGATTTGTGGCGAGTTCGGGGCCTGCATGTGGGGGGCTTCCGAAATTTCATGGGTTTAGGGTTTAGGGTTTAGGGTTTAGGGTTTAGGGTTCAGGGTTTAGGGTTTGGGGTTTGGGGTTTAGGGTTTAGGGTTTAGGGTTTAGGGTTTAGGGTTCACGTTTCGTTTGCACCGTTTTCAAGTTCTCAAGGCTTTGGTGCTGAGATGGGCTGAGGAGCGCGCAAGGTCGAAGTGACGTCGAAGCGAGGGCAGCTGCACTCCGAACCGTCCGGTTTGGTTCGCGTTCCCCTAAACCCTAAACCCGAAACCCTATATAAACCCCAAACCCTAAACCCTAAACCCTTTGGCAGGGAGTTGCGAGCATCGGGAGCCCAACGCCTCGGGAGAGCCTTAGACCGATCGTGCTCGGACCCTAGGAGCCTTCCAAGGCGGAATGCCCCGGAAGCACAAGATTGCTGTAGGTGTGTTTCTTCTCAAAAAAAAAGGTTTGCCGTCCCACCTGTCAGGGCCCGTCAGCTTGACCTTGCCAAGTATGTCTCTAAACTGGCGACGGAGATTTGGGCCCGTTCGCTTTGCAATGACGGGCTGCGCAGCGAAACTGCCTCTTTTGATTAGACGCACATGTTCTTTACGGAAGTCAGGCTTTGGCATCTGGCATGTCGACTCTTCCACATGAATTTCCGAACTTTGTCCGACTTGTTCCATGCAACCCGACAAGATGTTGACAGGGTCAGCAAACGTGCCCGGGCGCCAGATTGATCAGATCATGTTCTTTCAAAATATCTGCAGCGATCTGATGTTCGGTATGTCCGCGCCAATCGCCATTTGGCGCGAGGTAAGACCGGCCCGTAGGCGAAAGTGCTTACCGGAGAAAACCACGATTTGGGGATCGAGTGCCACTTTGTAGTGTGCGGCCTGACCCTCAACCAGCTGAACACTCAAGGAGCAGTTTCTGGTTTGCTGGTTGGAAGAAAGGGAGCTTGCTCAAGCCAGAGAAGCTTTCACAGACACTATTGGCCAAGATCTGCACATCTTAGGACACGAAGTTCCATAACCTCCGACGTGTTGTGTTTTTGTTCATTCTTTCTGCGGGCCAGGGCATGGGGCTGCAGGTTGTGTGGCGGCTTGTAAAGGTGGGAAAAATCTAACAAAGGCAGCCGAAAGCCCCAAGCAATCGAAACCGACAAACCGAGATAGTGCAAAAACGGTTTTGCAATCGTTGAGCTGTGCTGCGACGTCAGCCTTGCGCTGTTCTTCACGTGCGTTGAGGGAGCCTCGCCCTTCCGGGTTGTCCCCACGCAGACAATCGAGATTCGAGTTACGCATTTGCGATGAGCCTCCAGGCGCCCGCACCATGAACGATGGTGGAGGTTTTGGACCATGGCCTGGGTTACTAGAGGGGCCTGAAGAATTAGAATGGAGTTTTGGGGGTTATTGCAATAACAGTATAAAGGGACTATAAGGGAATGTTATTGGTAGTTATTCCGACCCCTATATTAGACCCAGACACAGCCATCCGCCAAATGTCAGAACCCTCTCAGCAGGGCCTTCGCCGCAGATGCGAGCGACGCGGGGGCCTCTCTCGGCGCCTTGCGCTCCCCCGCTTCGGGGCTTACTGAGGTTCGGAGAGCTGTTTGCTTTTGTTTTTTTGTTTTTTCTTTTGTTCTTCTCTTTTTCTTTTTTTGGGGGGGAGGGGATAAGCAAAAGTTGCGCAAGGCCCATGGGTACAGGGCCAACTAAACGTCTGCTGCAGAGCCTTGGAGTCCTGAGAGAGCCTGCAGGCGCATTGCAGTGTGGTTTTCTTTTGGTTTAGGGTTTAGGGTTTAGGGCTTAGGGTTTAGGGTTTAGGGTTTAGGGTTTAGGGTTTCGGGTTTCGGGTTTCGGGTTTCGGGTTTCGGGTTTAGGGTTTAGGGTTTAGGGTTTAGGGTTTAGGGTTTAGGGTCTATGGAGCCCGTGCTTTCAATCATTCACGCCCCGAAACGCGCTCGTCAGCCCATGTCAGCCCAGGCCCTCACTTTCCAGGCAGCAGTATGCAAAATCCCACAAAACCCAGAGCAAGCAGACCCCACAAAGCACAAAAGTATTAGTAACCCTAACCCTAAACCCTAAACCCTAAACCCTAAACCCTAAACCCTAAACCCTAAACCCTAAACCCTAAACCCTAAACCCTAAACCCTAAAATTAGGGACTGTCATAAAGGGGGAAGATCCCAAATCGTATGCTTACTCAAAGCAAGAGAGCCTGAGTCGCCCCTGCTGGTGCTGGCCACGGAACGGATGAAGCCTCGACCCAAGCTGTAGCCGTGAAGGCAGATCTTGCACGTGGAAAGGGTTTAGGGTTTAGGGTTTAGGGTTTAGGGTTTAGGGTTTAGGGTTTAGGGTTTAGGGTTTAGGGTTTAGGGTACGGGGGGCAACCAAAGGGGGAAAGGGATCAACCCCGAAGACCGCCCAGAACTTATATTCCCCAGATCGACCAGCACAACAAACACAGAACACGGACCAGGAGAACCAGGGAAGGGAGTAAAGGGGGCCTATGCCTAAGCACCTAGGAACCAACCCCAACCCCAACCACGCGGGCTCTACCTTTTTTGAGCTTGTGGCCTTAGTACTTCTGGCCATCTTGAGCCAAACAAGATTTCCGGGTACGTTGACCCTTCCAACTCCCAACACTAACTCTTTTCTACAATACCAGCTGCAGCTCCGCACTCCCCCTGTCCTAGGATTTCCTAGGACACATTGGAGGTGCAGATCTTTGGCCAAAAACTGCCATTAGGGCAGCAGCCAGCTGCTTGAAATGCACAATATGGTTTTACGTCATCCAGGACGAAATTATAGCACATTGGCTAAACCCACTAACCACAGAGAATCTTTTTTCCACCATGATCCTCTTATCATTGAAGACTCTTCGGCCTTCTTCACCACAAACCGTGGTCTTCGCTACGCGAAAAACTACTGACTTCTACTATCAGGGATTTCCATACCCTTAATAGTAACCACCACATTTTCAGCGCATTGGCCGATCCAGCGCACCTGTCTCCAGAAAGAGAAAAACCATCCCTTCATCCATACCATCCAGTCACTTCTTTTTCCGATGGTTTGCAATACTGAGGTGAAGTTGCAGCAGAATATACTCTAGGTCCGAAACTGTAAGAACAGGATCCTGCACGCACCTTTGAATTGAGGATACCAATCCTTCTCTCTTTGCGTCCTCAATCGCTTGGCAAGATTGACCCAGCTCTGCACTCACAGCGGTAGACGCTTGCGCATCCACATCAGAGGGACGATCCTTTTCCTCAGGACCTTTCACCACCACCACTTCTTCCTTTTTGGGGCTCTGACTTTTCTCCTTCTTCTTCGTCTTTCCACCGACGTTTGACTTTGTGCGCATTTTCGAGGCTTTTTCCCCTGCAGAAACCACCGCATTGGATGATGATCCACCCTTCTCAATGGTCGCCGGCATCTTCTTCGGCTTTGGAACCAGGAGAGTGTAAGGATCTTCGATAGCTGCAGTTTTCCTCTTCTTTTAACCTTTTTTACCTCCTCCTCAACGGCAACCTCCGTCTCCGAAGTCTCAACCACCTCCTTTTCGGCAGGAATATCCTTGCTGGACTCCCTTTCTAGGGACCTCTTTTTGCCCCTTTTGGGATCTTTTTCTTCTCCCACGTTGGCTCGCTCGAACCATATCCTCAGGTCATTGACCCATTCTTCCACCTCCGCGAGCGAAACCTCATACGACTTCACTACTTCGTGAAGTTCCAGCACGGACAGCATACCAGTGGTCCACGAAACCCATTCTCTATCCATCTGGTCAGTATCTCCATTGAACTTCAGGAGTTTGAACAGTGGGTCCGCCTCTGCTCGAGCCAAATCTGTTTTGCCATTGGACAGACATGAAATCGCCTCCATCAACAGTTCCGCCATTTTGGTATCATCGTCATAAGCCATGAAATCCTCCTCACCATCATCGAACTGTTCAGGAGAGATCTCCTTTTCCCCACGTTTTGCACCAGAACTTCTCCTTGGACCATCCCTTGGGGGCGTCCTTGGAGACCTTGGCCTCTGTTCATCCAGCGGATCACCATGCTCAAAGACACACCTGTCACCATAACGACACTTCCCAGACTGAGCAAACTGGATGCACCTCACACCAGTTGCATCATGCGAGAACGCACACTTCTTTCCAGCGAAGCAGGGTCTCCCCGCCACATAGTATTTGCACCAATACGAATGCAGCACCACATCATCTTCTGAATGGATGAATTTGCAGTCTTCACCAAATTTGCAGCGATCTTTTCCCTTACTGAACCAATAGCAGAAGCCTTTCTTCCTCTTCTCCAAGCGCTCCGCCTCGTACCGGTCCATAGGGCGATTCTGCTCTACATGAACATTGCCATGTGCCTGAGAACTGCTCCCTTCACCCAAGGTGCTATCAGTACTTGATGCTTGGAGTACAGCTGGAAAACCTGGCCTTGGTCCTACCACCTTCATGATTGGTTTTCCGCCAGATCCTGAGCCATGCTGAGACGATCCAAAAACATTGAACATCTTCATGAAGGCCTTTCTAGTGCCGATCTTCTGCACCCTTTTGATTGGATGTTTCATTGCTCCAACCTTGCATCCAGATACGTTCAAACGACACAACCTCCTATACCCAGCTCTATATCCCTTTTTCCAAAGAGCCATAAGAATTTTAGAGGCAGTAACATTCTCCACCTCTACCTTTTCCAACGGTCCCTCACTTCCCGGAACAAACCCATCCAACCCATCCATATCTGAAGACCTTTCCATCTTTTTTGACACCACTTCGTCGAGGTAGTCTTCAGAGATCCAGGGTAAGTTCCTCTTAGAGGAAGGATTGTCACCATTGTTTGGTCCTTCACCAGGATACCCCTTTGTGCTGTCAAAGATCTTACCAGTAGTGCGGTCCTGCGTAGAGAAATTGGAAGCAACGCGAGAGTACACTGACCACAAGAAAATCCTTGTGCCCGCCAGTCTTGACGACCCACTGGATGTCTCCTCTTCCGGAGAAACTTCTGGCGCTTTGCCATCCCTTCCAGTGTCACCAATTGTCTCACCTCCAGCATCTTCAATGGGAATAAGGGATTCATTGTTCCCTTGATCAAGTACCGCATCTTGTTGTTCGGGGATCTCCAGCACCATCCCTGTAGGATCCACTTCCTCATCAGCATCGTCGTCCATTCTTCTCCAGAGAACCTCCAATTGATCAGCGCAGGTCGCCGCCTGAAGGAACTCCATCATTTGGTCCCTCCCGTGCTGCCAGAGAAATTCGGAATTCACCACTGTCCCTTGGCCTCCTAGTCTAAGGAATGGAGCAACCAGATTGGCTACCCTTGCCATAAGTTCCACATGAACTTCCATGCCTGGACTGCGACTCCAATCATAGGCTATTGCCTCCATAGCAGTTCCAAACTTTTCAGTATTTCTGAATTCCTTTTCCAGGCCAGGAGAAAGCAGTGCACCCATCACCGAAAGAGGACAATTTCCCACCACCGGCAAGCACGGATCTTCATGGAACGAATGATGCAAATCTCCGTAGTGTCCTTGATCTCTCCTTTCAAAAAGGAGTCTCCCAGTGTTCAACTGGGCATTCAGTTCATCCACTTGAACCATTTCAGCACATATTCTCTGTGCTGCAGTCGCTATTGCCGGCCAGATAGCACGATCTGCCAACCCACGACGCATAACCCAAACAGTTGTTGCCGACTGAATCAGTGTACCAGGGTCATATGCCATGACCACCAATGCACCATCATCCATTCTCTGATCAGCATCATCTTCCAGTGCCAGGTTCAAATCCTGTTCGCTTGCACCTTCAGATGACATGCTAATAACCAAATTTCGATCCATTTTATTGGACCCCTTCTGATAGTCCTTGTGCCCCACAGGCAACTTGCCGACAGCAACCTTCCAATAAATCCGATTCAGAAGACCTTTAACCAGCAATTGCTGAGGAACATTCTTCACCGGACGAACATCCAATGTCTTCGCACCATCACCACGGAGTTCATTGCTCCCACCTTCTCCTTCGTTTTGGTCAGTCTCCTCGCCAGGAATTTGCACTGCTCCTTCCAGCGCCGTCTCCTGTCCAGCCACTTCTTGCCCAGGAAGAACTTGAGCGCTTTCAGATACATTCACCTGTCCAGCAACACCTTGCCCAGGTAAAACCTCATCCGTGGAGCCCACCGCCAGCGAACCAATATAACTGAGCCATCCCTTGCTCTTTTTTGAGACTGTTCAGTTCGACGAGAAGGTTGTGGTAGCGAAAAAACTTGAGAAGTCACTTCTTGGCGGGTCTCCCCCCGCGACGCTTTGTCGCGCCCTTCGCCAAGGTGAACCGATTTTTTCTGCCCGTCATTGGGGCCGGAAGAACCACCCATCGGAACATTGCCACGAATCGCAGTTCTCTGTGAATCCCTTTCTTGCAAAAAGATTTCCCTCATGCGTTGCACAGCATTGGTCGCTTGAGGAAGCGGCATAAGAGACCAAAGCCTCCGCCTGATCATCATCATCCACCACATCTGCCCACGCTCTGCTGAACCGATACGACAACCCACCACGAGGCTTCAGTTCCAGTGGTTTTGGTTTTTCCACCACTTCCGCCGGTTGCACTCGTCGTTGTGAACGAGAGCGTGGCACCTGTCGCACCTGTTTTTTATCCAGCAAGGGCCTTCCCCTTTTTACAGGGTTTGATCTTGACCGATACTTTTTTGTTGGTGGGTTCACCGGCGGCATTCCAACTCCCACCAACTGCAGCTTCTGTACGCACAGCGGAGACCTCTGCGCAAGCGTCCAAGCGTCACGGTACCTGACCTTATCAAAAAGCTCCCGATAGGAGCCTCTCGGCATTGTTTTTGCACCGGAGCCTTCAGCTTCACGCATCTGAGTGAGGGTTCGCACCGCCTCTCTTCCAGCTTCCTTGCTCCCAGAAGATTGTTGTACCCGTACAGATGCATCGGAAGGAACTGCTTTTTCCGGTCCCCCCGGACGATATCGGACACCACCCACCAATTGCAAGATTTTACATGCTGTCACTTTGTTGATCCCTTTGTCAACCAAATCTTCCACAAAGATGAACTCTTGCAAGTCGGACACGTTGGTCACACCAAGTGTAATCATCACCTCACTTACATGAGGGGTATACACCCAAAGGTGTTCGTTGCGAGCCATCCAATTTTCAATTGGCTCCTCTGGATTTTGAAGCCGAGTACCAGTGGACTCAGCCACCGAATTCTTTTGTTCATCATCTTCTGCTTCATCCAGGATACCCTTTTCACCTTCTTTTTGTGACACATTGGTCATTTGCAGCGCTTTTGGTGCTGAGGATGATGAAGATTCAGCTCCCCCACTCGCAGGTGGCTGAAAAGTGCTCCTGTCCGAAATCTCCCATCCTCTCTCTTTTTCAAACCGGACCTGATTGGCCACCTGTACCACGTGTTTCAGGTGCGCCAGCCGCTCATCTGACATCTCGTCGTGGGAAAATCTGCAGGAATTTAACCCCTTCCGGCAATGTCCTTTAATGGTGGAACCCTGCGTCCCTTAGTGCCTTTCTGGAAGCATTGTCCCAAGATTTGCCAGGCTCCCAAGTCCCTTCCAATGCTATGTCATCGTTGTGAAGATACCTGCATGTAGTCCCATATTTACAACCACCTTGATTGTAATACAGACACAGCCGTTTCCTCGTTTCACCCAACGTAGGCTCACCTTTTGATGTCCCTTTGCCATAGTTGTACTGGGCACGGAAGGCTGAATCCTCCCGCTCCTGCTGCACCTCATCCACTGCACCTTCATCAGTTGGAGGGCCACCGATGTCCCCATCCTCGTCACCAGTTTTTTGGCTGTTCCTTGGCTCAGTTGGCTCTCCTTCAGGCCACCCTTCACCATAACGACGATGTTCATAGGAACACCCATCTCCATTGCGACACCTCCCTTGATTGAAGAACCTGCACAGCTTGCTGTATCCAGGTGACACAGTCTTTGGAGTCATGTGAGCCTTTTTGTACTGATCAGGATCCATATAGGCTTCCATTGGCCTGTTTTCCCTCTTACTCATCACTTCGATTGCACCATCAAGCTCCTGCAGAAATCGCTTGGTATCCAACCACAGCTCGTTCCAAAGCTCATCTTTCCCTTGGCTCAGCAACATTGCCACCGTTTCACCCACGACTGGTCCACTAAATCTCCTTTTCTTGCGTGCCAGTTCGTAGAGCGCGTTGTGGTACTGCTTCCGGGAAAAGGTGATTGTTTTTTTCAAACCTGCACATTCTGTCCCATCGGGCTTCCAACCATCACCTTGCGAGATGCTGTATGCACGCCGAGCCTCAACGTTCAGGAATGTATGATCTGCGACACACTCCATAATCTCGTCCATTGGACGACTCAGCAACATCCCAGTGATTTTGCCCACATAGTCCTTATCTATTGTTTCATCTTCCAGGAGATTTCGATAGATCTTTTCTCCATAGAGCTGCTTCTGCTCAGCTTCCTCTTGTTCCTTAGAGGATGTTTTTGAATCGGCAAACCACTCGCGAGACTGCCGTTCTTCCGACTTCCAGTCCCATTGACCGTCGGAACCTTGGTACCATTGACCAGTCTGCCATGAGCCTGTCCACCATGTACCCCAGCCGCTGTCTTTCCATTTGCGCAGCGTCGAAGAGGAGTCCTCCTCGTCCTCTTCCAAAACCAGAAAGGTGTCCAAGATTATGGTACCATCATCTTCCACTCGTTTCACTGTTCCATTGACAGTATCACCAAATTTGAACTGATGTACGTTGTTCCCTTCTGCAGGAACCAATACATTCATATCTCCATGGTCCAAAAAGGCTCCATACCCATTGATGCAGCGCACTAGACCACTGATCTCATCTCCCTCTTGATAGCAATGTTCCCCAGGTGATTCCAAGGCTCCCGCTCGGGGCACTTTCTTTGTATGCTCTTCAGAAACCATCTCTGTATCATCGGCTCCTGGCACATCCTTTGTTTCCACCTTTGGGTCACACTGCTCGTCCTGCTCCTGCACGAGTCCCACAAGATCATCCATCTTGTGCTCCAGGGGCTCAGGACCTTCCTTTTTTCCAGCCAATGGCCTTGCCTCATCTGCTGCAGTTCGCTCGGTGTCGACTTCCGGCGAGCTTTCAGATGGCAACACTTCTCCCTTCCTGGGAGTGGACCCACCATTGGAGTCCTTTTTCAAACCTTCTGCAGCAGGCAAATTTTCTTCCACTACAGGGCTATTGGATTGGTCATCCGCGGTAGGCACATTGTCTTCCACCGCAGGCTCCTTTGGCTCCATGGTTTCCAAAAGAGAATCACCACTGTCGTTGACCACAGCTGCCGCATTGGCTCCGGTGTAGCCTTCGCCATTTCGTTCCTCGCTGCTAACTTCAGGCTGCACCAGCGCGTCCACCTGTGAACCTCCATCGTCAGCTGCTACGGAGACCTGCGCCCCATTGTTGCAGTCATCCGCGGAACGTGATACCATATGCGCCTCAACCCGTGCTTTTTCTGCACTCCAGGCACTATCTGGCACGTTGACCCGCGCTTCATTCCTCATCTTCCCGATCAACCGTGTCTCCAACAGTTTCAGAAGTTTCCTTTTTCCCTTGAATGGCAGAATCATTGGCACCAACCGAAGAGACCTCCTCAGGCGTAACGCACGATTTTTTCCCTCCGTCATCCAAATCTCCAGGACCATCTTCCTGAACGACAGGTACCACATCCACCACTCGCTCTTCTGCAGCCGACACAGTTCCGATCTCCACATTGGGCATTTTGTCTTCTGGACCCACCGATTCCACCGCTGCCACACCCTCAGAAAGCGCCTCCATCTCTTCCCGATCCAGATGTTGAGCTTCAGCGATGTCTGCTCGGTTTCCAGAAATCCCCTCTTCATCAGGAGAACCCGAGGTCGGGGTGTCACCACCAGCCCTAGGACCGCTATCCCTGATAGTAGAGGAAAAATCTTTTTCACCTACACTATTTACACTACCCTGGAATGCCTTCGTAGACTCAGGTGTCGGTGTAGTCGATGAAGGACCGAAGGAGACCCAACCACGTTGTCGCTTTTCACCTTTTCACCTACATCCGGCAGCGTCCACTTGCTTTCCTGCGTATCCAGGCAGTAGTAATATTGTCTCCCATCTTCGTGGAAGTGCCATTCCCACGTTGTCCCATCGCACGCTTTGATCAGATGCTCATCTTTCCGAAAACCATCCCTTTCAGAGACTTGATGCATCTCATCCTCTTCTTCTGACAACTGGCGCAACCTTTCAGCCTCCATCTGTAAGATCTCCTCCTCCCCCATGGCGTATTCAGCAGTTGGCGCAGCTTCAAAACTGTCCGCACCCTTCTGTTCGTAACCGCTTCCACCACCCAGGGAACTCGCCGAGGGATCCCCTTTAATCTTGTTCAGAGGCCTCCTGGCAGCTTGCAGCACCTCTCCACTCAGATTGGTCTGAGACCCTTGGTCTACCATTCGGCCCGAAGTCGAAGTAGACGGCTGATACCCATGTTTGTGCAACACGCGTAAAACAGTCACCTCCATTTCACGGTCTATACCACCAGTCGCGTCCCAGCTCCTTTTTTCACCAGGCTTTGGCGATACAGAAACAGCACGTCCTTCAGCTTCAGCATTGCTAACCATATCCACATTGGGATTCATACCCACATTGGAGTCTTCTGCAACCAAGGCTTCTTCCAGATGTTCTTCAGCGCCAGGCATCACCTCTTCCAGCACCGCCCTTTCACCCAGAGACTCAGCTGCACCATTTCCAGCTCCACCATTCTGTCCACCATCCGAGGAAGGCTGGAGCCATCGCTTGGGAGAAGGCATTGCTTCTTGATC